CACGGACGGGCGATCTGACTGGACCAGGTGTGTGTGTGTGTGTGTGTGTGTGTGTTAACGTGCGTCAGTTTGTGTGTACGTGTGCGTGTGTCAGTTTGTGTGTACGTGTGTGTGTGTAGGTGCGGCCGGTACTCACCGACCACCTGGTAAGCCACCACGGACGGGCGATCTGACTGGACCAGGTTGTTGTCCCATGTGACCAGGATGGAGGTGCTGGTGGTCACGGCGGTCACGTTGGTCGGCCGCCCACGCGGAGCCAGCTCTGGAACAACCACAACAACAATCACAATTACAACAATAATAACAGTGACAATAACAATAACAATTACAACAATAATAACAACGACAACAACAATAACAATAATAACAACCACAATTACAACAATAATAACAACAATAACAATGACAACAACAGTAACAACAATGACAATAACAACAATAACAATTATAACAATAATAACAACAACAATGACAATAACAGTAATAGCAAGGATAACAACAATAACAATTAGAACAATAACAACAAAAATAAAAATAATAACAACGACAACAAAAATAACAATAACCACAACAATAATAACAATAACAATAATAATAACATCAATAACAGTAATAACAACGACAACAATAACAATAACAAATAATAAAAACAACAATAACAATAACAACAATAATAACAACAAAAAACATCAAAGACAAATACAATAACAGTAATAACAACAATAACAATAATAACAACGACAACAACAATAACAACAACAATAACCACAAAAACAATCAAAGTAATAACAACAATAACAATGACAATAAGAACAATGACAAAAATAACAACAATAACAACAACCACAACAATAATAACAATAACAACAATAATAACACCAAAAAAATCAAATAAAAATAACTGCTTTTCTATAGATCAGATCCACGCCCCTCAGCAAGCCACAAGCTTTGTACAACTGTTAGCACTCTGTCTAGCAGACCCTGGAACACTCAGAGACATTCTCCACTTCCCGACAAGCACACTTTTTTTTTTTTTTTTTTTTTTGGTAAGTGTTTTATGGTGCTCAAAACTCCATGAGGCCATATGAGCGCGCGGGACATTTCACTTTTTCAGTTGGTTGGAAATTTTAATTTTGCCCGTGTGGTGGCCGAAGCCTACTCTTATCGACTTTAGACCACAAAGGGATCTTTAACAAGTGCAACTTACACATGGGACCTCTGAGATTTTTCGCCCTTGTCCGAGAAGGCTAGGTGTAGATTTTTCCTACCAGAAGATCAGGGGTGTGGCAGAAAGACAGCAGTAAGGAGGAGCCAAGGAGCAGCAGTAGAAAGGCTGCAGAAAAAGTCAGGAGCCTAGGGGAGGGGGCAAAGGAGGTGAGGGGGTGGGGGCAGAAAGTGGAGACGAAAGCAGACGACAAACATTGTTAGAGAGCAGGAAAGTAGGTGGGTGAAAGGAGACAAATTTTAGAGAAGAAAATTTTTCCGGTCGCCACCCGGATTCCAACCCGTGACCTTTGGATGAGAGGCCAACACTTTAACCTCTAGGCCACGAGAGCCCCCGAGCAGACATTGAGGAGGTGTTTAGTTTTCGTAGAGGGTTTTACAGCACTCGCAACTGCATAAGGTCATATGAGCGCCAAGGGGTGGGTGTCAACAGAGAAGTCTTTACAGGGAATCAGACTTACTCTGCTCACCTCTCTAGCTTCAACAGCACAAAGTCTGCTTCGACTATCAAGGCACCCCGGAAATAGCAGGTCACAAGAGAGTGACAAACATACAAAAGAAGTAGAGGAAAAATGACAATAGTAAGGATTAGGAAAGAAAAAGCAGCAGTTCCCTGTTGTAGATCAGGCACAGTTATAAGCGTGACATGATGAATCAGCCCATTTACAATTCTGCTGTGCATGAACGAGAAATGTCCCCCCCTTTGGGAATGGCCTAAAGACTCTACAGTCAGTGGCACTGCCGCACGAAGGGGGGGGGGGGGAGGA